GATTTGATGTTTTTGGATAAACTTATGAAATTAATTTTTAACATATTAAAATATGCAAAAAATTTGATGTATAAAAAACTATATGAATATATAAAATATGTGTATTTATATATATATATATGTAAAAAATATTACAAAATTAAAAACAGGTTACATAATATTAAATCAATTTAAACATTTATCCAAAAATTTATGAAAACTTATCCAACAATATTAAATTGAGGACATTGTTAGGAGATGAGATTCTAAACGTCTATGAGTGAAATTAAAATTATTAACGTTTACTAAACTGACTTTTCTTAGTTTCCCTTTCATTTCCTATTAAATATAATGAATTGTTCAAATTAAGGAATTATTTTAGTGGTCTTCGGTTATTTAAAAAGTACTACATTGCATATCACAGTTTCAAGATAAGGAACATTTTTTAAAGTCCATCAATCTATATTTGATTTTAGAATTTGTTTAAGTGAGGGCTTTGCATGTTTCTTTCTGAGTTACATAAGTGAATGTAAACAACTCATGCACTCTGACTTAAAAAATATGTTGTCTCCAGGAACGTTGCTAGGGGTAGGCTGACATGGGTTGGAGCCTTAAGCGGAGTTCAAAACCCCCCAGGTCAAACTTTGGCACATTTTCATTGTTAGTTTCAGGTCTCATAACATACGGAAAGAGGAAAAAAAACACAGTTGTCGTGGATGCAGGGTTTTAAAGCAGTGAAGTTGACAGGACTCAGGGTTAATACACCCGGTATGGTGTTTAGAAATATAGGTCATTTTGTTGCAATGGGATTTATAGAACACAGTGTTTAGGGTTGGATGTATGGTGTGGTGCACCTCTAATTTTAGGAAGGGTTTCCGCCACCATATGGAGGGGTGGCCATAGAATGAACCCTTGGGGTGATGCACCTGGTTGTCTCATTGTTCTATCCCACAGTTGAGTTTCACTATCCTCATTCAGCAACAAATCGCAAACTGCTTTCAGAGGTTCACTTTAGGTCAGTATTTTCTGCAAGGAGGGAATGTAAAACAATTCATCTGAAAATTATTCTGGATGTCATTTTCCAACATGAAGTCATCTGGGATCAGGTTCAGTGCAGATACTTCCATCAATCAGTATCCTAATCATTTACATTGTCAATAAGGTACTACAGCCCTGCACCAAAGATGATAAAATCCTTGTAAAATGTGCAATAGTCCATAGAATCGTTAGCAGACAGTAATGTTTATGAAGAAAGTCAGGCTATATAATGAGTGTTTGCTAAGGTATATTACACACAGAACTCACCCATGGACTCAACTCCAGTGTCTCTTTTCAATCATAGAAAATATACATAGTTTTTCCACAGAGGGAAAACACCTAAACATTAGTTTAAATGTATGTACAAGCAATAACCACAATAAACACTGCAAAGACTGTTGGGGCTATTCTGAATATGCCTCCAAATTGCCATTTAATTTACAGCAAATGTAATTTAAAATAAGTTGGTGTCTTCTTAAAACAAAAAACAAAAAAATCTCTAAAATACTTTCTCAAGAGTCCCCTACATCCAAGCAGTTTGGACACTTATGAAACACTGAATTGACATTAAATTCAGACATTATGAGTACTTTTGGATATTACTGGAAAAAAAAAAAAAGAAATGACAGAAAAATACAAAAAACGACTTCTTGTTTTGCGTGACAGCAATACATAAAATGTTAAACAGAATGGACCCTCTATTAACCGGGAGCAGCAAAATGGCCCCCAGTGCTTTGCCTGACACACAAATAATAAAAAGTCTTAAACGTTCTTTAATTTGGACACTCACACTGCCTCCCATTGTAATGAAGCACAAGGGTGGCAGTACATTGGGCCCTTGTGACTTTTTATTTATTTCATATTCCACCAGGTCAGTTGTTTATTAGTTCAAGCAATCTTTGAGGTAGTAAACCCCATCTTTTGGATATTCCAGGAGTTTTCCAAGACACTTTGGATTAACTAAAATGGGTCAGCAGAATACGAATGGGTTGGATAGTGGCGGTGCATACAGCCCCATTCCCCACACTGTCATGGGATTATAGCATAGCCAGGGAGACCACCACAAAGGTCCTGCACTGTCTTTTGCCTTGTCTGTTATTGGGGCATCAACTGTTATTGGAGTATCTTGCCTCTCTGGCCATGCATACTGCTTGGATCTACATTGACAGATCCAACATTAGACCCACTTAAATAACGGAGGGTGGATTTAAGGGGGTTTAGAAGAGACACAGAAGGTAGTAAGGGGATGTTAAAAGACACAAAAGGGTAAGGAGGTTCATGAGGGGGTAAATAAGAACAGGAGACTCACACAAGGGAAATCAGAAAAGACATACTAAGGGGAACGGTGGGAGGTATCCAGAGATAAATACTTACATGGGACCGATGAGGTGCAGAGGCACACAAAAGAGGGTGGAGCAACACATAAGAAAATGTAAAATTTCAGGTGATGGACATACAATTAACTTAGGAATGTCTCTGGGATGGGCTACTCCAGCTTGGACCTTATTATAATTAATTTAGTGATGGTTTAGCAAAATTATGGGGATAATGAATTAAATAGTGGGTATCCTCTAAAAATTTGGCTTCTTTGTTTTGGGGGTAAAAAGGTAATCTTCTTGAAAAGCCCCATGTGATTACCACACAGTGCTTTCCAAGTAGGACAACAAAATAAATAACATTTGCCCCACATTACCAGTCAATGTTATTGAGCACCAACATTAATTAACTGGTCTACGGGCAACCTGACTAATATATGAGTTAAATGGACATGCATGAAATTTCTATTTAAAAGTTCTCATATAGTGCTTGTATCCAGTGGACTTTACGATTTAGGCAAAAAGGACCTTAGCAATTTTACAAACGGGAAAACACTTGAAAAAGCCTTTATTGGTGAAATGCGTTGTGTAATATTGTAAAATTTATGTTTTTTTCTTTTAAGCATTAAAGTATATTTGGTTTTAATTCACTTTGTTGTTATAGACCATTTATTACACTTTGTATGCAATTTTAAAATTTTATTTATTCCTAGCATGTTTAACTTCAGATCTGGACAATGATTTACCATCATATCCCTGGTGGGGATTATACCACACATGTGCAGATATTTCAGCAACTTAACGCTCTATCAAATGTGAGAATAATACCTTTTGTACTGCATCACATATTTATGTTTACAGTGAACACTATTGAATATTTTCTTCTTTTTTTATATTTCTACCTGCATATCGAGATATTCGCCTCAAAAGTTATATCCATCAGTGGAGATTGTACAGCTGCAAGCAATTCTACTTGGAGCTAGTTTAAGCTCCATAACAAGTGAGTGCTACCTCATATACTACTGTTGTGAGTCCTATTTTTCTGCCAAAACAGTCTTCACTATTATTTGTCATTTTGTGTATCCCTACATATATTTACAAGCATCTTAATCAAGAACCAACATTCCCCAAGAATCCAGAAACAGCTGGAATTGCAATATTTGGATTGTGAATATTTGGACTTTTTAAATATTATTATATTATTCTATCTGTTCACACCTTTTGGCGCAACCTGTTTTTTAGTATTTTAAACTGGTACAAATGGTGAAGAGAAATGGCCAGGGATGCTTTTAACTTTCTTTAGAAGCAAACATATTGCCAGATATAAACATTAATCAAGAACCTTCCAAAATATAGATACTTGCTTTCATAGGCGTGCACACAGGGTGTGCCGGGGCACACCCTAATCCCCGCGGCACGCCTATGTATTGAGACCGGCAGGGGAGATCTCAGGATCTCCCCTGTCGGCTCATACAGAGCCGGCGCTATCCGAGCGCCGGCTCTGCTCTCAGCCTCCCTCCCCACTGCAGCATTGAGGGAGGCAGGAGAGGACCCGGGGAGCTCAACCAGCAGCTCCGCCGGGTTCCTCTCGCGAGGTCGGAGCGTTGCCGCGGCAACTCTCATCATATCTTGCGAGAGTGAACTCTAGCCCCACAGGGGCTAGAGTTCACTCATTACTTGACCACCAGGGATGGCAGCAGGAACAAGAATCCCCCCTCCCTACATAAGGTAAGAAGGGAGGGGGGATATTAAGTAATGTACCCCCACCTCCACCCCCACAATCACCCACACACATACAGCACACACACACATACAGCACACGCACACACACAGCACCTACACACATACAGCACACACATACACACAGACACACAGCACACACACACATACAGCACACACACACATACAACACCCTCACACACAGCACACACACACAGCACCTTCACACATACAGCACACACATACGCACCCACACACATACAGCACCCACACACACACGCACACACACACACATACAGCACCCACACACGCACACACCACACACACAAATACACCACACACACATACAGCACACACACACACAAACAGCACCCTCACACACATACAGCACCCACACACACACACACACACACACACACACATACAGCACACACAGCACACACACACATACAACACCCTCACACACAGCACACACACACAGCACCTTCACACATACAGCACACACATACGCACCCACACACATACAGCACACACACACACACACACACACACATACAGCGCACACACACACACATACAGCACCCTCACACACAAATACACCACACACACATACAGCACACACACACACAAACAGCACCCTCACACACATACAGCACCCACACACACACACACACACACACACATACAGCACACACACAGCACACAAACAGCACCCTCACACACATCACACTAACAGCACCCTCACACACAGCACCCTTACACACACACAGACACAGCACCCTTACACACACAACACCCTCAAACCACCCTTGTGCAGCACACAGACACACACAGCAGTGTATGTATGTGTGTGTGTGTGTGTGTGTGTGTATGTATATATATATATATATGTGTGTGTATGTGTGTGTATATATATATAATACACAAACACATACATATACACGCGGCGTGTGTTTGTGCTTTAGGGTGCTTTTCTGTGACTGTAGCTTAGTTTAAACAAAGCTACAGTCACAGAAAAGCACCCTAAATACACATTTCCTGTTGGTAATAAGTGCAGTTATAAGAAGAGGAAGCCACATGCTGATATCCTCTCTATTCCTTCCCTTTGCCGTTGGGTTGAACCAGGCTGGACTCGGCATCCAAGGATTTTGTGGCTTCCTGTATTATTGGCAGTTCTTTCCTATATTGTTGCCTTATACATTTTTACATTTTTATTCCTGATTTTCCAACCACAGTTGGCTAGTTGAATGGTGGTATGGAAAGCAATGCAGAGCCATAAAATACGGTGAATTCTAGGTTTCTCTCCAAGAAACCAGGGGTCTTATGGGATAGATCCTTATATACCCTTATTTGTGTGAATTGGCACATTCCTGTGCATTAATAGAAGTGTAAAAAAGTGAAACACAATAATTTGTTCTTTATTTGTCCTGCATACGCAGTCAGTCAGTTATGATTGGAAAGCTATGTGCAATGTCAGATGTGAAGACCTTACTTTGAAGCGTGAAACTTTATTCACTAAACAGTATATTATGTTGAGTTGAGAACTTTCTTCAACTTCCTGTTTATTTACCCCTTAAGGACACATGACGGAAATATTCCGTCATGATTCCCTTTTACTTCAGAAGTTGTGTCCTTAAGGGGTTAAATAACACTATTAGGCCACAATTACATAAATAAGTACTGCAATGGAAGTAATATCTCATTTAAAAAAAAAAAAAACTGAATAAGCCAAGAGGAATATTTTTTTTTTTTAAAACCCAATATGTTTTCCAAGTTGGAGAAAGACTTATTTAATTATTCTGTACCTCACACCAGCTGCATGCCTGCTTCCTGACTATAACAGTATCATTTATAATATTACTACAGTACAAAAAATATTATAATAAACCCAGTTCACCAAAAATGTATTTTTACACAAATAATATATATATTTTGTATTATTGTAATTGACAATTATTTTTATTATTATTGCTATCAAATATTCGAGAACTTTCTTTTTTTAAATAAATAAGTAAATAAATATTTATTTATCTAACAAAAATTGCATCTGTCAGGGTTGCACCAGCGCAGGTTCCAGGCTTTCAGCTATAATACCCCAGCGATAAGTGCAGTTTGACTGAGAAAATTAGTGATTTTATAAAGTCATACTGTGCATTGTCAGAGTTATTCAATAAAGTGAGAATTGTCAGGAATTCAAAGTGAATATTGAAATTTAGGCCGAAATAGCCAAATTGTAAAAATGTAAATAAAAATTTGTCAATTGTGTTTTAAATTCAGCTCTTTTGGACTGAAATTTGAAAATCCCTCTGAATTCATGTTGAACTCTCTGCAATTGTCACTTGGTGAATAACCCTGCATAGTCTCAGCCAGACAATGCAGAGTGACCATGTCGCCGCCTTGGGAAAAATATGTAGACATATTATATTTACAATCTGAATGTAAACATGTCAACATTACAAAATGGATTACATTAAAAAGAAAAATTTTTAAATCTCTATCTACTTATAATAATTACTTATCTTTGATGCCTCTACAATAATTATTTTTATAAACTTTTGTCTTGCTTTATTTTATTTTCTAATTTAAGGGAATCCACCACTTTCTCTGTGGTTTGTTGCAGTTAGAGAAACCTTTAACTTTAATTTTCCCCTCTCGTCTGTATCTCTTACTAAGTACCTCGTTTGTCTCTCTTGTTCCCCACTGTTTTGTCAGTTGCTTCTCTCCAGATTTAAAAAAAAAAGAAAAAACACTTTCTCCAGCTACCAAGGCAGAGATTAATTACCACAATATAAACTATTGGTGTTTGGCTCTTGCACTATGTGGGCCTCTTCCAAGAACAGAATTTCTGTAGGTGCTAGAAGATTATATTAGAAATGGGCTCTGAAAAATTCTTGTAATTTCTCGTAAAATGCTAGTATTTAAAAGGAAGGAAAAAAACAGTCTGACACGAAATACCATGAAAACCGCGTAAGCCAAGAGACCGGGAGTGATTCAATGACTGAAACTGAAGTGGAGAAAACAAAAGCTGAAGGACAGAAGATGAAAAGTGAAGGAAATAATATTAGCAGCTGTTTTATTCTAGAGTATTCTGTAGTAGAACGCACAGAGAATGGTGAACTAAATTGTTATTGTTTTTTTCCTGTGGCTATATTAGTGGTGAAAGGAAGGTATTTGTTTGGCTGTCAACATCTATTATCCACAGCCAGCCACAAAAATCTAACAATACAAATGTTAATAGTGTTCAATATCCCAATGGGTGAAACCAAAACGCCAATTGTACTCTAGACACCTTATGTGGGTTTTCCCTTTATCCCCACAAAAACACAAAGATATACATACAGTATAAGGTGGAGTATATAAATAGGAGTTCTTCCAAATGTAATGTTCAACAGGATAATATTCTTTAACAATTCCCTAAATATGAACACAAATAGGGAAAAAGAATAGTGCAATATTGCCAATACACAGTCTATAATTATAGTAAATAGGTAATGGAGCACTCACAAACATAGAGCCACTAGGTAGGCTCAGAGATTGAAGCACTGTGGGTACTTAAGGGACCCACTCCCTTCTTTCTATGGTCTGTGATATTTGGCGTCTTTAGTGGTTCGGAATCCATTTTCACTTCCTCTTCCGGTATTTGCGTTCCATTTGTGGAACGCATGTATCACATGATGCGTTCCACGGCGTCATTTTCTTTGATTTCACATCCTCTTCCGGTATTCGGCATTTGTGTTCCACCCGGGTCGTCAATCAAAAAGTCTTCCTTATCTCCTCCTAGGATTCTTCAAGGAAAACCCCATTGACATCATTGAGTAAGAATGGTGTCACGGTACTTGTGACGCCCAAACGTCAGGCCTGCCTCTTCTACATATGGAGCTTTGGGGGGAAAGAGGGAGATGGAGCTTGGGGGGGGGGGGGGAAGAGGAAGATGGAGCTTTAAGAAGAGTGGGACATGGGGAGGGAGAGAGGGAGTTTGAGCTGGTGGATGAGATGAAGATGGAGCATTTAGGAGAGAGGGGGAAATGGAGTTGGAGAGGGAGAGTGGAAGTTGAAACTGGGTGGAAAGAGGGAGATGGAGCTGGCAAGGATAGGCAGAGACTTGAGACTGCTGGAGTCACTAATGTGAGCTGTGTACATGACAAAGCTTAATAACAATAAAACTTGTACTAATGTGCAGAGTGTATTAACATATCACAGAGCTCAACAGAAAAAATAAAGCTCTAAATAATGTGTTTCACAGCATTAAAACTCACAGCAATGTGCAGTGTAAATGAGTGTATCACAGAGACATACTGCAAGAAACACATATGAGCGCTTCCAGGATGCATCACGATTGGAATGAGAGTGAAGGGTACTGAATGCTAAGAAGGGAAAGATGGAATGGAACTGTGCAGTGTGTGATTCAGAACATGTGTGTTTGTATGTGTATGGGGCAGTGTGTGTTAGAGAGAGTGTGTGAGAGAGTGCTGTATGGGTCAGTGAGTTTCAGTAAGCTCAAGTGGAGTGAAGCAGAGAACCCTCCTGGTTGGCTGAAAGTTTTGTTTTTTTTAAATAAATTTATATCAGAATTCATGCTCTTGAAATGAGAATGACAAAAGAATATTTGAGTCCTATTAAAAGGGTTTTTCACAAGACGTCAAAATGATGAAACTGAAACTTTAAGGGTTAATCTGCTGCACCACAGCTTAAAATAAAACAGTTCTTTCGTTAATTGTGAAGTCCTGTCCTTACTATTGGAGATATAAGCACTAATAATGGAGATATAAATCAATGTTTTTTGGGACTGGTATCAATTTTTTTTCCAGGGATGCTTTTTAATCCCGGTCCAGCCAAGTCTACGCACTATGCACTTTATCACACCCATCCACGCGTCTCTTAAAGGAAATAGTCCGCCTTCTCTATCTAGCTGCACTATACCCGAATTCGCTATTGCAATGGAGGGATTCAAGTTGACAGGTAGGGGACAGTTTTGAAATGAGTGCCTAGCACAGACTAAGCAACTGTTCCAAAATCTAGCTAAGGTGGGATGGAAAAGAAAGACAGACACAAAAAGACATATTAACTAGCCTTTAGACATCGGGACTTAAACCTGCGAGAAAGAAAAAAAAAAAATCTACCTGTTAATAGTTACATAAAAAATTTTATCGAGAGGCAATACAGCATCAATTAATGCCCAATTATCACACAAAAGGGGAGAAGGAGAACAGCCCATGACAGGGAACAGAACATAAGACCGATGGAGTAACAATTTAAATTTTTTATAGATCAAGAATTGTGTTAATCTAATGGATTAATCTATAAAATAATTATATTGTTTCAAGATATATTCATTCTAGAAATTCTAATTGCTATACTTTTTTCTATTACGCCACATATTAGACCTAAAATCTCTGTCTAAGAAAATGCTTAAGTAATTTTAGCCCTGTTCAGGGATTTAATTGCCGAATAACGATACATATGTATCAACAGTGTAAAACAGGCAACGAAAGACTAAAAAAGATGGACCTTCTCCTATCCTTTGGACTGAGCAATCCAATCTCTAAGCCAAGTTAATTTAAACATTTAGAGTAGTTAGGCAGTCAGTTTATATTAACTGAGAGCAAGGTAAAATAAGTCTAGGATATCTGCAGCAAAAAAAAAAATATATATATACAAAATAAAGACATGTTTAGCTGGCTCAGATTCCCACATCTGTATTATGGCTGTTCGTTTTGCAGACATCTTATTTGAATGTGTCAGCCTGCCATGGGAGAGTTATCTTAATAAACAGAGTTTTAATTTAATTTAAAAAAAAAATGAATAGGATAAACAGGAAATGTATCCCACACATGAAGCACCCAGATAACTGTACATTATTTACTCAACTATTTAATTTAGTTTGTGGCCTAGGTACCATGTGATCAGATGGAAAACATGGAAAAACATTTACAGAACTATAACTTTTGTCAAAGAGAAGCTTAAGGTCTGAAATTGTACCTGTCGATACAGCATCTAAATTACAAACAAGATACAAGAGCATTGTGTTTAAAG